AATACAGTAGAGCGTCGTTTATCCGAATCAATTGGGGACTGGGGTTGTTCGGATAACTTATTTTTCGGATAACCGATTATGTACGAAAAAATATATTAATCTATCCCGTGTTGAAATTTTTCTCTGTTGTGTGTCGCTTCACATTGCGTTTTCGTCGATGTTAAGCCTAACGTAAACTTTTTAAAATAATAATTGTGGCTATTGTATCGTTAAAAATGATTTCTTTATGTTTTACAAACGAAATATATACATTGAAAAATATAAAAACAAATAAAAATTATACTTTAGGCCGACTGGAATTCTTTCGGATAACCAACTTTCGGATAAACGACTCTCTACTGTATATTAATATTGTAATTAAATTCATATCAAATATTTTTATATAACTTTACAAACTTGATTTTTTTTTTAAATGTGAAGAATGAAGATTGATAGAGATCCTGTTTTATATCATTAACATATTTGAATTTTTATCATCCTTTTGATATGACATCATCTCTCAACTTGCCTTTAAAGTTTTCTTACTACTAAAAGCAGTGTTGCCAATAAGCATTGATAGCATTGGTCGTTTCTTGATGATGCTTTGTTGTTTAATAAATGATTATTGACATTCACATGGTAGAGACCACACACAAGAAGTACTCTTTTATGTAGGGATATGCATTTTTGGCCCTTCTTCAGTCCCCATTCTGGACTGAAGAGGGGCAAAATCTCTTATAGATATATGAGAATATAGAATCTCTATATTCTCATATAGAGAAATCCGAAATACATATCTCTATATGAAAGAGTACCTTCTGTCAAGTGTGTCTTCTGAAAAAATCCAGCAATGAGTTGTGCAAGTTTTTTGACTGTTTAAAAATATATTATAAAAGTTATTTTTTATTATAATAAATGAGCAGTTATTTATTGTGACATTGTCACAATGTTTTCAATTTTTTAGTAGTGTCTTTCCCCTGTACATCATACTTTTCCTGTTAGCAATAGAGTTGTGCTGGTTATCTATCCAACTCCATTCAGGAAAAAAATTTTCAATTGAAATAACATGATTTCCAGTTTGCACCAGAAGTTTTTATACAGTTAATCTTGGCTTCCTGCTCCTAAGCTTTCGTTATTTAGTCTTGACTTTCATCTACTTAACTCTGTTCTAGAGATTAAGGAAAGACAGACAGATGACAGTAGGAATTCATAGGTCTACCATTTTTTCAAATTGCAGCCCAATAAAATTGTATGGCACCATCTGTTAAGAGATTCTGTTATAAAAAACTTTTTATACTTTTAATTATTATAAAATGGCAAAAGGCTTAATTTTGAGGGTAGTGATGAGTTTCATAAAAAATTTTAAATGCTAATAATGAATAACATCTTCATTAAGTCCACCCCTCTCGAGATATAACACGACATCTCTTTATCTCCTCACTCCTTTACCTTTAACCACCAAAATGGCATCAATCCTCCTAATACACAAACTATTGTGCCAAATTTTGTTTTTTTGTCATTGTCCCATCCTGAGATATTAAATGAAACAGATGCCAGCACACACACATACATATTCATGGAATTTTTTTTGTTCCTTTGACTGTTTTGGGTTTAGGAGGTCGTAAAACATGGAGATTTGCAAAAACTCCAGAGGGTCAAATTTGACACAATTCCAATACTTTCTCTTGTTATGTATACATAACAGCTGGGAAAGTAACAATACTATTAATACATAAGTTTCATTAACTATACTTCACTATATTCACTGTTGACAAACAACTGTTCTTATTTTCAGTGTAATAAAGTGGATTTCTGTGAAGCAGACTTATGAAGGTGAGCCAAAAAGCTTGAAAACATTGGCAATAGAGTAATTTTATTAGTTTTTCTTTGCAAATAAAGATTGCTGAATTATAGAAATAAATTTTTTAGATACAGTTTCTTCTTTTGTAGAAGGTTTCTTGTAACATTTTAAATTAAATAACTGAGAATTTAGTCAGTTGTTACAATGTTAGAATTGCATTTATTTTGATAATCACAATATTTTTTCAAATTAATTTTATTTATTAGAGAAATTATGTATTAATTTTACCAAGCTATTCTCTGTGATGGAATGTTTTATAAAGTGCCTTATTTGAAATGTTTAATTTTCATTTGTAACAATAATTTCTGTTATATGATTATTGTATTATTGTATTTATGTAGAAGAGTATTAAGATGTCACAATTTTATCAAACACTAATCAAAATTTACTTATAATTAACCTTAGTCAAGTAGTTATGTTCTAGTGTTATTAGTCATTCAAGTTGCGAGATGCTTTCTGTGTTCTTTGTCATAATTTATTATTTGCAGAACAAGTATATTAATATATTAGTGTCAAATATTATTTTGTGTAATAATCGTAAAGGATTATTGCATGAGAAGATAAATTCCTATCCCAATTTTTTGCATTTTCTTATCGGTTTTATAGTATCGGATACGCTTAATATAATTATATCATTCTTTTGGTTTATGTGTTCAATATTGCTTATTTTATATGTGGCAACAATGTCATATAAGCAAAATTTGTCTTAAAATGTTGCAAAAGTTTTGTCTACATAAGTATTTGTTGCTGTTACAAAAACTTAGTTACACTATAATCACTTTTACATAAGTACTTCATATATGGGACCATCTTTTGAATAGTTTACTATGGTTTGTTCAACTTAGCTAGGTGCTTGAAATTTTTAATAAACAATTAAAATATCATAAAAAATTTTAATTATGGGGATTTGTGCAGGAGCTTTGTTTAAATAAATTTAAATTCTTCTATACATTAATATTGTTACATCGCATCCTCGTCACTGACCAAATACAAGAAAGATTAGCACTTCCACTGGCATTATGCTTTGTATGCTGCTTGGTAATCATTTTACACCTGTTTTAGTTCTCTTGCATAATGTTATTTTTTATTATAGAAGTGTATCTTTCTCCTTTTTATACTTCTGTCTTTAGCTTTGTTTGTGCTTTATGTAGGGTCACTTTTTTTATCAATTGTCTTCATTCCTTTCTTTTGTTTTCATCCTCTCCAACTGACCTTTCTCCATTTTATATATGGATCAAAATTCAATTTTTGCAAGCATGTAATTCAATCCCAAATTGTGCAATTAAATGTAACTTGAGTTTTACTTGAGCAAAGTTTAATTATGTATAGCTTGAGTAGAACTATAGAAAAATACACCTATCATATTTATTCTAATAAACAGCAAACAGTTTAAGAACTGTTCTGTTTATTAGAGGGCATCTATTATTTCTGTTCTTTGGGAATTGGGTACAATTATTAATCGAAGGTAACTTTTTTCACCTTATTATTACTTAAACAACAACACAGAATACAACTCACTGTCAAAGTATTAGATCATCCTTCAAAAATATTGATTTTGTTGTTTTGATTACATATAACTTTTTTCAGTTGTTTTACAATTTTCCTTTATTTTTTTCCTCAAAATTCAATATTTATTTAACAGAAAAAATTCACACAATAGAATTTTAATGTGTTTTGACATCAGAAAAAAATTAAATTATTTTTCATGTATGAGACAAAAATTTTAGATTGGCAAAATTCCCGAACAAAAATATTAGACCACAGTTTTTTAAATTCTTGTAGGACCACCTATGGCTTTTATTAAAGCTGCAATTTATTTTGGCATTTGATCTACAAGATATTGACACTCATTTGGTATAATTTCATTTCCAACATATGTTAATATTCAATATCAATTCCTCCTTGTTGGACAGTTTTGTTTCAGATATTTTTTCTTCACTAAATACCATAAATTTTCAATTGGATTCATGTCAGGACTTTGGTGGCCAATCTATAATCCTGATATTGTTTTATAACAACTTCAGTGGCAAGAAACATTGTCATTTTGAAAAAATATTCACTGTCTCCAAATATTTTCTTAATAGATGGAATAGAAAAATAATTTAAAGTATCTTTATGTACATCACTGTTTACATTACCATTGAAAATGTAAACTTTGTCGTTTCCACTTGCAGACGTACAATCCCAAATCATTACGCTGAGTGGAAATTTCACATTTTTACTTTAGGCATGCTTTGTTAAACATTTCTTCCGGTTGCCTCCCCAATTTTCTTCCGACATTGTCATGACATCCCAAACAAATCAGACATTCATCTGAGAAAACTACCTTCTTCCAGTCGTCGGGATTTTGGTCTTTATATTTTTTGGCCCAGTTTCATCGGTTTGGGTGTAATCATTGGTTTAGTTTTTACTTTTTTGGAATGGTAACCCATATAAGCCAAACATTTAATAACTGTTCTTGAAGACACTTGGACTCCAAATTTCTCCACTTTTTTTACAAATATTCTGAAGAGTTTTGTCTTCTAATTTTGATGATTTTCTAGGTTGTCAGAACAATGTTTTTGACATATCCAGATAACTTAAATTTTCTAATATTTTGAACTCCAGTTTTACTTACATTTAGTAGTGTTGCAATTCTTCTCTGAGACATGTTTTCGTTGAATAATGATATTATTTGAAGTTCTAAATTACAGTAATACCTCGATTTAAGCTATCCCGACTTATGCGAACCCGGAGTTACGTGATTTTCAAATCTCGTCGATTCCTCTTTTGTTTGAGCGCCACGCAACTCTCGATTACTCACTCCCCCCACAATATTGTTCGGCTTACATGTTCCGACATGTGTCGCGCGGAATCGACATATAACTACAATTTATTTTGTGTTATTTATTTCTGTGTTTGTTATATCTACTGAGACTCGAGAGACTCTACTATGTCATCCAAACGAAGTAGAACTGATTATTCTGCATCAAACAAGAAAAAACTTTATCTTTGGAATGTAAAGTTAACATTATTAACTTCGATACAAAAATGAAAATTTGTGAATTGTCAAAGAAGTTTGATCTACCGGAATCGACAGTCAGAACAATTATAAAAGGTAAAGATAAAACTCTTGAAGCTGCGAAAAATGCTCAATCTTTAAATTCAAGCATCATTTGTAAACGTCACAGTGTTATCGCCGAGATGGAAACAGTGTTAAAATTATGGTGTGATAATCAAGTAAATCTGAAAAATTGTATAATAATATAATTTGTTATACATATAGGGCTATATTATCTAAGATTTTATTAAACTTTTTTTTTCTAAATTATTGTTTTTTTAGTCTCCAGCCCCAATTAAACATTATTTGTATGTATTTATATGTGAAATTATACCCCGACTTACGCGGTTATTGCTTGGTCCCACCTACCGCGTAAGTTCGGGGTATTACTGTATTTCCCAGTTCCTTATGTGCTATGATGCTATTGTATACTTACAGTTTATGTGATTGAATGGTTTACTTTTGGTTTCATTAGTGCTCCTGAACATGTTAGAACATTTCAGATTTATTCTATTAATAATTATGAAGTTTTTGTGTAAAATCTTTTTGGCTGTATTTCATATGGTCTAATACTTTTGTCAATGAATTTTGCCAGTCTAAAATTTTTGTTTCATACAAGTAAATGATTTAATTTTTTTCTAATGTTTAAACATGTTAAAATTCTATCCTGCAATTTTTTTCTGTTAAATAGATACTGAATTTTAAGAAAAAAAAACAGGACATTTGTAAAACATAATTGAAAATAGTTATATGCAATCAAAACTACAAAATCAATATTTTTGAAAGGGTGGTCTAATTATTTTGGCATGATATTAATTGTCGAATGTGCAATTTTTCAGTTTAATATACTGTGCGGGTTCTATTAGAGGGTACCATTTATTAGTTTTCCCAGCTTGCAGCTGTTTATTAGAGGGTGCTTACTATTAAGATCATGCTGTTTATTAGAATAAATATGGCATATATTCTAAACTGGTGGTGCCCAAACTATGGGTCCTAAACCAAATCTGGCCTGCGGCACACATTAATCTAGCCCATGAACATATTCATAAATGATGTATGGAATATATACGATACTGTATAAATAGCCTGCCAATCAAAAACTCAAGGCACCACCACTCTAAATGAATGATCTGAACAGTAACTATATGTAGTAATTTCATTCTCATATTTTCTATTGTAGTATTTGTATTGTGATATATTTTGACATAAACGACAATTTTATGCGACTAAACCCAAATTATCTACCTCCGGAGTTTGTATATATTTATATATTATATAGAATATACTAGCTGTTAATATAAATATTCTGTCGTTTTTAAAATTTAAAAGTGATTTTTTTTAAGCTTGATATATTACTTTTGTATTGTATTGATTAACTTGGATAAAAATTTCCAAAAACAGTATTATTTTGTATTAACCTCATAAAGAATCATTTACTTTGGATTATTGTTTTTCATTTTTTTGATATTGTATTTACTTTGTAAAATTGTACAAAAGTATTTGAATGAAAATAAAGCTATTTTTGGAAATTGTTAAAACATATTGATTATTTTGGCAACTTTCTAATGTTTAAAATAAAATGAGTTTTATATATAATACATTATGCACCATGTAATGACAGATCACACAAGGGTCATAAGATTATAATGGAACTGAAAATTTTGTAGCCACCAGTACCTCTTCTATGTTTAAATACATATATATTTTACTTATAGCCTATATTAGTAGTAGCTGTACCATATGAGGTTTGTCTAAGTACACTTGATGTTTGCTTAATGACATTTCTTGGAACACATCTCCATCATTAAGTGGCATCTATCTATATTTCCATTATAGCCAATGATTTTCTCTTTAGGCAACGGCAAACTTATTCTGCTGACGTTTAATAACATAATTTCAGGGTAGAAATTGGATCAATGCAATATATTCTACTGTTGCAATTTTCAGCAATGTAAATATAAAAGCATCATGTAATTGAAGATAGAAGATAGGATCAACCCTGTATCATCACTAGTCACAGGAGGTCCAGGTTTATATCTGATGTGGACTTAAATTATACACAAAACAAATATTAATTCATCTCTTGCATATGCCAGCACTTGTTTACTTCTACATGGTTTATAGCATGTTAATGTTGCATCAAAAATCTAAAGTTTTTAATACTAAGAATTTGTAAATTAGAATTAAGACGGTTATTAATTAGATTATTAATTGAAGGAAGGGAGAGAAATGAATCAAACTAGTTTTTATTGATGGAATTTATCTAAAATTTTACTTTATGACAACATTAACAAGGTAAAATGCAAAAACAATAACTTAAAAAACAATTTATTTACAGAATCATTCAAAAATTTATGATACAATTATAAATGTCTAAATTGGATTTGAAATTGGTCTCTTTACAATTGAGATCAAAGTGTAAGATAATTATTGGTCTAATTTATCACATTTTCTCATAATTAGATCAAACCACAGTATCTTCTGTTTCTTCTTTCTCAAATTTGTACTCTGGCAATATATATACAATAAAAAGTGATCTAAAATGAATATTTTTTTGTAAAATTTACTCTCTTGTAAGATTTAAATTAAGCAAAATATCCTTGAGTTAAAATACAATAGTAAGTAAATACATGGATACAAATTGATTTTGTAAAATCTTGATATTTCTGCATATCATAAGGAATTTTATAAAATAGTTTTTCACATATGTCATTGATGAATCTATCAAAAAAATTGATAAGAAGTGTACATCAGAATTTGAACAGTATGAAATTAGTATTGACAGCTTTGATTTGTAAATAGAAGTGTTCTCCTGTCTATATTTTCTGTTTTGCAATGATTATACTATAAGAATATCATTGTTGCAGAATGGTATTTTATATTATATACAGTTAAAATATAGTTATCACTGTTCTATAAGTAAATGTCACTGTTACTTCATGAACAAGTAGGTAAACATTTGTTTAACAAATGCATCCACAGCCTTCAGTTTCTGTTTGAGGTAAACTTGCAAGTTACACTTACAATCTGCCTTTATATCACACTACATAATAATCAGCAAACTTACAAAAATATTATGTATGTATAAGTAATGTGTACCAAGTTTATAAAAAGAAATTCTATACATATACAGGAGCAACTACAGTAAGGGTTGAGAAGAGCAGCATGTAGCCCGAAACCACAATCTGGCCACTATGAATATATACAGTTGTATTCTGATATATATGGACTACAATATTAATGGTTCTGTTATCTGTGTATTATACTGTTAAAAATTACTTTAAAAATATTTGTTAATAAAAAAATTTTGCATTTAGTAATTGTCATCAAGTAATGGAACCCAATGATGTGGGCATAATAAAATTATGAACTGTATTTCATGTCAAGCTCACTTGAATTTAAATTCTTTGAGTCAGTGACTTTATAAAATGTCTAATTTTCAACCAATTCTAATTCTGCTATGTGTTTTCTCAATATTTTATACTAGTATTCCTAAAACAATTTTACATTTTTAACACTTTGGCTTCTAAATTTTCAAGAAAAACAATTCTATTATTATGTACGAAAAGACTGATCCCAAAGTTAGTCCAGCTCCAAGAAATGCAACTAGAATAAAGCCGGCAATCTCTTTAAAATTGCTTGCAACCCTTTTTGGTCCCACCATCATTGCTAACGTGCATATGGCACCATTTGTGATTCCCAAAGTAACTATCAGTACAATGTATTCGACGTCTCCGAAGATGGCGGGTAGAACGGACCTCGGACGAGTATTACACATCATAAATAGTGGTATATACACGATACGTATAACGGATAACGACAGTAATAACCAGCGTGACGAAACGGAAATCCATTTACAAATAGTTCTTCCTACAAAATCCGAAACGTTGAACAGGAGGAAACAACAGACGGGTAAAAAGTAAATCTGGTCCCACGGATCGCCACTTTTATAATTTTTTGACAATACCAGTACGCAAATGGCAGGAAAAATGCTTAGCGTCACCCAATATATCAGCATGGAAGTCATGCATTCTATCCAAATCTTCTTAAATATGGAAATTATCAATTTAATATTTACCGTGGCAAGTTTCGGTATTCCCGGCTTCTCCGAAAAACTCTCCACCTTGATGATGTGATACCGGAAAAATGCAGTTTTGTGCATGATAAAATAACAGGCCTTAGCACAAACAATAATCAGGATAGCACACATGAAATATCCAAGAGCACTGTCGGTGGGACGACCGTCATTTAACAGGGATAATATTTCGGAGAGAGAAGAAATTATACCCGCCACGGCCTGTCCCGTCATGACGGCGTACATGTACTTGGCAGGAAATATCGCAGCCAGGGCCGCCACTCCTCCCTGAAAGACTCCGCTCATTACGCTAATCAAACAAACCAAGAACATGGTAATGGCGAAGAACGTACTCTGCCAGGCTTCGGTCGGAATTTTAATAAACGCAGTAATCACGCAAAAGACGAGGGAGGTGCCGACCAGCGATCCGCCGTTCCTTATTTTCTCGGGTATCTTGTAACAGAAGAACGGATTCAGAAACAATATAAAGATAAAAGGAACATTATTAGCAATTGCTAAGTAACTGGTGAAGGCAGTTTGCAAGAAATTCTTGTGATTTGGATCATAACTCGTGTTGCTGCTCACATTCCTAAATTTATACATCCAGTAATCGTTGGCAGTTATAAAGAAGTTCCAAGGTAATAAGGAGCATATTCCTAGAAGAAAAAACGTCGAGAAAACAAAGTAATGTCTGTCACGTGGTACAGAGATGAGAGGAGCATCCATCGAATCCTGCTCCTCTGCACAAGATTCCAGAGTCTCGACTGAACTATTTTCAAAATTAATCGATAAATCTGCCGGAAGTTCACTGCGAGTTATGGACGTAGATAACGTCGAGTAATCGAAGTCGTAACAGTACTTAGCCATAATCAAATTAAAGAAGTCGCTAATCGACGAAAAATAAACTACAACTAGTCACATGACCACCAAACAACAACAGATTCTACCGACATCTTTCGGGATAAATTAATAAATATAATAACTACAAACAATTTAAAAACAAATATTTTAAACTTTGTGTTGATTAATTACGTATATTATTATTAATTAGCTTTAAAGTAATATTTCTGTAATAATTATACTTTAATAATTTAATCAAAAATTATATGCAATTACAAATCTTTTCTCAACGTAATTAATTTATACGTAATTTAAAAATGTTTATATATATTGTAATTAATTTATTCAATTAATACGAAAATATTTTTAAAATATATTGTATTATTATTTAAAAATTAATTTAAATTTCATATTCTAAACGTCGAGTATGTTTGAAAGTTTATCTGTTTTTTTTAAATTTAATTTATTAATAATAATTACGATTAATTTATTTAAAATAATTATTAATTTTAATTAATACATCATCCCTACATATCTTTATTACGTAATTTTTTTTAAATCAAATGATAAAGCGTTGACGATATTATTGAGATTTTATAGATACAGATCTGACGTCACTCTATTCATTGTGACAATCTGCTTGCATTCATTCGTTTCGGATAGTTTACACTGTGGATGTGATCCACAAATGCATTTTTGAATCACATCCAAAAATTTATTTCTTTGTCATTCATTCGTTGCATTTGACATATTATTATCTATATGTCCGACGACCGGATGGCCGAGCGTTAACACGGCAGCCTACCGTTCTGGAGACAGGAATGGAATCCGGACGGGTCGAAAAACCCTAGGAATTTTTCGCGAAGATGGTCTGTCCGGATATGCCTGACCCGTCTCTCGGCACCCGACCGCTCCATCTTGGGTCTGGCCAAACCCATAATGGGTTTGCTAGAAAAGACAAAGATTATCTTAATGTTCACGGGGTGAAAAAAGTTAAAAAAAAAAAACTGTATGAACGGGCCAAATTTATTACAAGATCACTCGAGTTATGAAATGAGGAATGCAAAATGAGGATCCAGATAAGATTCGAATCTAGAGCAGCAGGTATTGTACCGAAGAATCAATGTTTTATGTTTTACGAGCTGACAACGAATTCGAAACATGTTTTTCGTCCGTTTATACTTAAATTTTCCAATAAAAATATTTGAATATATATGAATATTCATCAAAAAAGAATAAACGAGAAAATTCTAGACCACATACGATTCAAATTCGTAAAGTTATTATTCCACATATAGAAAATAGTTCCGAACTTATACCGTATTAATGTATCAACGTTATTTGCTTATTAATAAACAAATTAAATGACTTTTCGAATTACTAGTTGTCTTTAAATTAATCTTATAAACACCAAAGTAATTAAAATTATCCGCATAGTAAAGTGTTAGTCGTGAAGATTCAAATTCGAATCCCTTCCGGACACTAATAATTTATCAATGGTATAAGGAATACGGATCAAGCCTCATTCTTTAACCATCGCCTTTGTTGGTCAATCTTATTGCAGTTGGACCCGTTATATAATTATGATTGGACTGGCAATATTGAATTCTGCAGCGCGTTGAATTTTTTAAGTAACTCGATCAATAAGTTGTAGAAATTACTGCAGTGGTGTAATATAAGGGGCTGTCCAGAAATTATGGCCGCATTTCTCTTGAAATTTTTACTTCTCCTTCCCCTCTTGTCCCAATTTCTGTAATCCTTTTCACTCCTCGGACGTCCAACAAAAATCAACTCCCCTTAAAACCTTTATCACTTTACGAATAATAGATACCATAAGTAGGAATGAAATATGCAAGAAATTTTGAAATAAATGTAATAAAATACATAAACTGTATAAAATGTAATGTAATGGTCAAGACAAGTTGGACAAGGGCGGAGGACGTTCAGTGAAACTCAACCCTCTTGTCCGACTTGTTTTAATATTAGATCTCAAATATTACTTTAATGGAAATTAATGCAAATGAAACCATGAATATGGAGGCTAAACGACATCAAACCCTTTTATAACATTGTAGTATAGTATTATACCAGTTTTTCAACATTGACATTCCTCATATTAGTATATTGTTCTCTCAGGGATAGAACTGCATAGGCACAATAGAATGATGTCCATACCATACCCACTTGTCATTTTATTTATTAGAAGCAATATATTTTTATATCTGTCCTTGTGGGGTGGAAGAATGTTAAATACTTTACTATTTAATGTTGAAAAATACTACATACAAGGAATTATACTGCAATTATGTAGTACGTTATAATTTGTTTAGAAATTGCAAAGTTGTAGTTATTAAAGAAAAACATGCCGAGTAGTTCCCCCTAGCAAATATTACATCCCCTCCACCTATGATTGGCTGAGTGAGAGGAGGTTTTAGTCTTGAACCCTGTCTTTTCCCTAACTACCCTAGTATCTTTTCCAAAATAATATTATCCAGACAATGTGATAGTTGCGTATGTCATGTGAATAACGAATTTATAATTAATGCAACCCTGAGCTGTGGAGTCGAAGTAGGGAGGAATTTCTGGCCAATTTTCTCTCTTTTTGTTTTCCACAGAAAAATTTTTACTACTAATAATATCACTTCTGTCGGTAGGAAAATATCAAATTTTAAATCCTCCCCGTTTTATTTTATTCATAATTCCATCTCAATCTTACAATAATTCATTTTTAAGCATTAAGCATTAATTAAGCAAGGTGTCTATTCATAAATTTATTTTATTTTCACTTTTAACTAATAATTTCGAATATTGGACCGGTATATTTTAAACCACACTCACTACATTCCATTTTATTTAACGTATAACGAGTTCAACAACTTCGAAAGCACGATAAACAAACGATAAAACTTGTAACCACGACCCGAAACCCGTAACAAATTCAGTTGCCGCGATTGGCATAATTTAGAACTAATGTTTACCAGAGAGCAGTCTCTAGTAAACACGTGTCTCTTGTGTTTCTGAAGTCCTTGTAAATAAGGACATCCCTCTCTAAAATCTGCTTTTTCTTGATGTAATATTTTCATTGCGTTAATGCGGAAAATTAAACGAGAATTCAAAATAGCTGTAAATAATTTACCAAATACTAAAACTGGTGAAATTGGGACAATAATTTTTTGGGTCAGAAACAACATCTCGTTTATAAATGGGTAAATACAGTATCAGAATTTCAATCCAGCTATTTGGAAAATTTGCAATTTTATTAAACATGTCTAAAACATTCTGCTCTAATCGATCTATAAAGGTGTCTTATTACAGTGCCGGATTAATGCGACACTCTAGCTGGCCCTAGACAATATTTAAATTGGAGCCTGATTTTAATAAGTGCTTCTAAAGAAATCTTAAATAATGTTCACTTAAAATTTTTATTAATAATAGAGAAAACAATAATAATTGTATAATAAATGATTTTCTGGTATAACGAAAAACTTATTTTTACTGAAAGCGGGACATTTGTCTGATTTGTCTGTTGGTTAATCCGGCACTGTTATTAGATTTAAATTTAGCTACTACGTTTTAAATTCTTCATCGGCCGAGATTTCATTACAGAGTATAAAATTTAGCATGTTTAACGACTCGAATGGCTCATGTGAACTCATATTTCAATTAAACTTTTAGAGTAATACAGTGTAACATTCAAGTTTCTACATAGAAAAACGTTATGGAGGTGGAGCGTTAGCGAAGTCTCTTCTATGTTGCTTACAGAATTGTATTCGTTCTCAAAATCTGTTCGATCGATTTGGATTAAGCTTTGCCATTTTCCATTAATTGCGATGAGTAATCAAAAAATGTAATAAGGGCCCATTTAATAGTGCTGGATGTAAATTGCGCACTATTGACAACCTCTGTGAATTTGTCAAATTTCGTGTCTGTCCGTACGAATAATTCCTTACCTCAAGACGGTGATTGGCGGAATACCCTATATATATTCGCCTAAAATCTCCAGTATTTCTATGAAAAAATTATTATACTTATTATGAGGAAGAATATAGTCCACAACTATGAGGACATTTTAAATGTCCGTTAAATCTATTAATATCATTCTTATAACTGTAGATTGATACAGTATAGATTTTAACTAATATCTGTATTAAGACCAATAATGGTACCTCCTCTTGACCACAAAAAGCATACTGTCTACACACGTTTCAACCAACAATTACAGAACTATAATGTTAGTTTTATTCTTTAGGCCAGCTTTATTATAAAATAGTATTTTAAATTTATTCTAAAGTTACTATAAACATTATTTTCAGAGCATCATATTTAATTATCAAACGTTTCGCTAGATATTACATTTACAAAGAAAAGTTCGTCTTTGACTTGATACATTTCACCATCCAAACTACTCGCATAAATTATATCATTTACTATTAACCTAAGTTATAATAATTTCAATGTATTCTTTTGAAGGCTTACGCAACTGTCCAATATTTGATATTGCTATTGTTTTATATTCTGTTTCACGCGAAGAAGATCATTATAAGATCTTTTTATATCATTCCTTTCATTTATTATTTTATTGCTAAAATTATTATTATTTTTATCCCAATTTAAATGTTCTTTATATTATTTTATTCTTATATATTAATTTAAAATAAATTGTATATATTCTAATTACAGATGTAAAAAAAAAGAATAAATTCATACGACAAAAGATACTTTTCATAACAGTTTATTTTAAGTGTACCGAACAGCATTAAAGAACATTATCTTGCTCCATGATTATGGGGTATAGCGGACATTTAATTCTATTCTATAGGTTATTACAAGATTTTTCATCTCTACAACAAAGCAAAATTCAAAATTAATTGAAAAAATAATTCAATTATTACAATCCTCAACAGGGATGCATGAGGAATTTTCATCGACTTCTCGGACATAACCTGAGTTGCAGATGCATCCAGGCATACATATCATAGCACAAGGAACTACTTCATCTTTATTTTTACAGTTTTTCTGACAATGACGTGTACAAATATCAAAATGTTCATTATCGGGACATTCTATTAAAAAGAAATAATAATATATTTATTTA